AAAACAAACTTAGCACCCTATCCATTAGCCACCCGATACCTTCGTGGCGGCCATTTTTACTCCATTTCCCGCCATTCATCTCGTGACGTCATCGAATCTTGTGACGTTCACTTAAGGTGTTGTGTTACAAGCTGTCTAAGTGATGGTCCTTCATGTTAATTAGGTATATTTTTTAAGTTGGTTAATGTTTTGAGGAGTCATGGTTTTTATAACATGATGGAAACCCTTATGGACTTTTTATGTACGGAGTGGGGGGGCGGACTCTTACTGGCTAAAACCACCACGGTGTCCTTCCCCGGTGGCCGTGACCCGAGACGCCCTTGTGGATTTACCACACCAATGGAGTAATACGGTTGATGTGATGTGATAAGATGCGCTTCACATCAAGCATCCTTGTGCGTACTGCTAAGGAGTAGAATTCTTTGCCAGAGTCTGTATTTCTGTAAGGGTATACCTGGGTGTCTTCAAGACCCGAGTGAATAGGTTGCTTTTATTAGGTGCTCCATCGTAGACCGAATCATTTACCACTAGGCGAGATAGTGGTCAAACGTCGACATGTCAAATATAAAAAAAAATTATGAAGTTAAGAACAAAAATCGTCTGATATATTTAAACTATAATTGTAAAAGAGGTACTTTCTTGTTTCAATACCCACTTCCATCTATTAAACCTTTACCTGTAAATAATCATCAGAGTTATAACCATTTAAGAAAATTATACAAATAGAAGAACATTCTATGACCAAACGTCATTGTTAAACACGATACCATCATTAAGGACTAATATAGAACAAAATTAAGACCAAACCAACCCCATTAACACAACAGTCATATTTACAACATCCAACATCAAAGAAGGAATCTTTCACAAAGAACCGAAGGAAATAATAAAGCAAAAAGCCATTAACATTTTCTCTCAATACAAATTTCACAACACTAGCACTGGCATATCTGTCTTTGTTATCTCCCCTTTTAATTATAGGAACCCTTAAAATTATTATAAATAGAATTATATCCCGGCGTCGACAATCACGCAATTAATTTCAATGACAACTCATTTTGACAGATTCATTTTATTAAAACTGATTGAACTGTCAAGTTTTGTGATTTAGTAGATTCCAAGTTTTGAGTTGTAGTGGGATAATTGATGGTTGAGTCCATTTTGTTTGTTGTTGTTTAGCTGTTTTAGTCTTTATTGCAATATGTATGAGGCATATTCTTGTTTGTAGTTTGATTTGTGTTACACATGTAGATTTTTAGGGCAAATAATCGATCTACTGAGTAGTTTTATGAAGATGTATTATATAATTTTATTCCTTCTGTCCCACCAAACCATGATACAATTTACACAATTGCTTTTTAAGGATTCATTACCGGTAATCCGAACAAAAAGGTCCGGACCTTGCTGTGTCAATGCTACTAGATATAAGCCTCTCTAAAGTCTATACTAGCACGTCTCTGAGCTCAACCTTCGGTTCTTCCTATCCAAGTACCTAGTCGCGGAGAACCTAACGGGTAACCGGGGCTCCGGCTCGACGTGCAGGAGAAGGAACGGGGTGGTTTTAGTCAGTAAGAGTCTGACACTCCCTCCCGTCTCCCCCAGGCGGGAGCAGTCGTTCGATGATTTTCCTCCCTTAAAAAAAAATCCAAGTACCTAATAAACACAGCATTAACACAATACACCCAAAATATTTACCAAATAATTTCCAAATTTCTGTGCCTAATAAGAAAATATTCCAGTATAATTTCGGTGACAAAACAAACATCATGAAATAATATCTTAGTTAAAGTAGACGCTTTTAAGCTTTGAAAAATGATATCCAGACGGTCTGGGTGATCAAGCGAGACATTGAGTGTCGGCTCGTTTCACTGAGATGGACGAAACAACTTAATTTAGACGAAAATATCACATTTTCTTCGTATTATTATATTTGCAAAGAAAATATTGTTTGAGAATTTTCGTTAAGAGGCATTTTATTTGATTAAATTATCACTCGACTTGGCATATTCTGGGCTTTGCTATATTACTGATAATTTTCAATATGTCATGTCATATGAATATAACTTCATACATAACCTCACACCTGTCTCCCATGGGGGTGAGCAGACATTATTGAGCGCCAATTGCTACGATTCTTACATACCTCTTACGCTTTATAAACAGTCATCGGTCTTACATGCATGCTCGCCGGTAAAGGGTACTTTTAATTATGTACATCATCCTTTTTCTATTTTGTATGGACAGAAAACCATTAAACGACGTGCCTTCCGTACTAAGAGGGAGGGAGTATCAGGCTCTCACTGACTAAAAACTACCCCTTTCTAATTTCTGCTTACGGGTGAAGCCGCAGTACATGAGTAACACGGAACTGTGGCTAAATTATATACCATCCCTTATCTAGGGGATCAAAACACCATTACTTTCGGTACTTAAACTTTGCCATAACCAATAACCGAAATTGCATCGTTGTCCGAAATACCAGCTCATTCAGTAAAAGAAATTGAAACTGATAAGCATACTAAATCTCCCGATTACAAGACCAATGAGGCGGAAAATACATAGTCCACGTCAAAATATCGGCTATAACTAGAATTAGATCAGGTGTTAACCGGATCAGCGGGGAATGGTAAGCCGACTACGAGGGAGGACATGAAGCCTTAGCAAGCACTGCAAGTCGATGGAAATATCAGTGTATTATGTGTATGTTACGGAGCAGAATATATCTTTATAACGTTGCAGTATTCCCACGTCTATGTTACTAGGAACTCAGAAAAGAAGAAAGAAAAGAAAGAAAAATACAGTTATTTGGCAATTGGCACACAAAACAAAGATTGTAAAAAAATAGAAGGCGTCTAATTTAGAATGGAATAAAATCTATCAGGCTAAAATTGTATCGTTAAGTAGTCGTTCAATTGAAATATGTACTTACACAGAATTACACTGAAGCAAAGGTTTTGGCTGCATTCTTTTTTATGGGAAGCCGGTAAAGTAGCAGACGGATTACATGATGGTAAGCAATCGATGCCGCCCATGAAAAACTGAAACACCAGAGGCGTAACAAGTGCGTTACAGGCACCGGGTTAAGGGATTAGGAATTTGAGGATTGTTGGACCTTCAGGGATTGGGGAGATTGGGGAAGGGGTTAATTGGACCGCCGGTAACCTCACTCAGATGACGAAACACAACGCAAGCGTTGTTTCACGTAGCTTTTCTTTAGGCCGTTGTATCATTCTGGTCAAGCCAGCCCATACGTGCCAAGCTATTCCGCACTTTAATAGGTGTTCTATGTTCATTGACATGAATAAATCTAATGATAGTAATAAGAAAGGTTTCTAGGTTTGTGTAGATTACCGTGCCTTACATGAGTGACAAAAGCATTTGATAAAAAAATATACCTGGTTTCCATGTACAATTTGTTTCCAACCGTATTTTCCTTTCCAACATGAAGAACTCGCTTTATTTTTCTCAAATACTTCGTAGATTTCAGGATACAGCAATTAAAGCACTTTTTTGCTGTAAGTGACTCAAGGATGGATTTCCAGAAAATCATTTTCTAGAAAGACTTTGTTATTTATAGCTCTTTGTAAGAACTACGGTTTTTGTAAAAGCAATCAAATTTTTTCGTGTTCTATTATTACTTTTGCAAAGATAGTATTACTTTTCCTTTTATAGAAGTTGATTGCTTTTTCTTGCCAAAGCTTTGGAAAAAACGAAAAGGCATTGAGTTATCCTTCTATAACAAGACTTTAATCTATTATAATTATATTCGAAAATTAGTTATCCTTAAGATTAAAACCCAAAATAAATCCAAGACGAAATGTCCTAAGATTATGACATCTATTGTCTTCGGAGACAATTCATCAAGAGACCGCGTTTAAGTGCGTCAGTTACGAACGGCGCGACGAAGCAATGTAGGGAAATTGGTCCTTTCACGTTGTGTAGCTCAGGAATTATAACAATGGTTGCAATTTGAGTACTATAAAACTAAATGAAAAACTAAGTTGTTTTAAAATATTTTGTATTTGGAATTATATGAAGGTGTATATGAAAATCTATGTTACTATTGGTATATAATAATTGCATATTAGTTGAACTATGTACAGTTCTGAGTAATTGTCATTAAAAATGTTTCAACTCTAATATCAGTAAAATCCGCCAGGATACATTCACACCTATCTCTCCAAAAAATAAAATAAAATGTTTTGCAAATCAACACATTTTTTTTAAGTTGATTAGTTTCCTATTTTTAGATTTCTACGTAGGTATAACTTGTAAAATAAAATTTGACGACGCAATTTAAAAAGTAGTAAAAGTAGCAATTGGAACCAAATCAAAGTCATTACCAAAGTACTAGTTACCTAAATTAGGCAATTTGAATTCATTGCCTTCCTTTCAAAAATCACTTTCCGTTCGAATAAGAAGCTCATTAAAAACTTCGAGAGCTCGAAAATACGGTTAATGGACTGAACACTTGGCTGAACGATCAGCCATGACGATTTGAACAAATATTTCGGTTTAGAGGGTTTGACTTTCAAATGTTCTTTCCTAGATATTATGAACAATTTATTAAATGCATGCTGAACTAAAAAAGGCCGGTAACGTATATACTTGCAACGCTTCTGGTTTGTCGTGCCCATGGGCGGCGCTGATTGCATGACATCAGACGATCCGCATGCTCGTTTAAAAGGTTTATCTCTTAAATAAAAAAAAAATATCTAGTCTAGCAACTCTAGAGGTAAAGAGGTCTCTCTCTGGTGGACACTATCTATAAAGATGCGTCCATATTTGACGAATGCGCTGCGAATGCTCTACTCGCGTGCCGCCAACGAGCTCCGTATTTGCGGAGCATTCGGCAAATGTGGACGCACCTTGACACTGTCTAACAGAAACCATAAAATTCGTCTATAAGAAAGAAAAAGATTGAATTGATTTTAAATTAAATTAAACAAAAGTAAAGAGAAGTAAGTCGCTTTAATACTAAAACACATTTTTTGTTACAGAATGAATGTCTACATGCAGCAGTGACAGCTCTAACGAAAAATCAAGCGGAACACTATGACAAATATCATTGTTTGTAAGTATTACGTTGTATATAAATTATTATATTAGGTACACGTACAAATACACTTTTTTTTTAAGGGGGAAAAATCATCGAATGACTGCTCCCGCCTGGGTGAGGCGGGAGGGAGTGTCAGACTCTTACTGACTAAAAACCACCCCGTTCCTTCTCCTGCACGTCGAGTCGGAGCCCCGGTTACCCGTTAGGTTCTCCGCGACTCCGAATCCCCGCCAGCCCCATCTGTGGTGGTCTGATGGCTCTTTGAGGCGCGCGCGGAACGCAACGCGCCGTACGCTCGGGACGTACAAATACACTAAGGTGCCTACACCAGTCGCTGAGAACCTAATGGGTAACCGGGGCTCCGGCTCGACGTGCAGGAGAAGGAACGGGGTGGTTTTTAATCAGTAAGAGTCTGACACTCCCTCCCGCCTCACCCAGGCGGGAGCAGTCATTCGATGATTTTCCCCCTTAAAAAAAAGGTGTCTACAACAGCGCCAAAATATCTTTAGTAATTTAATGTAGCCATTTTTGCTTTCCCTAGAGGGCGCTTATGTTGCTTATATACAATATAATTAAATAAATTAAACAAAAGTTGTATCTAGACACACTGGTATACTTAAGTTTACTTCATTATCGTTAATCCTACAATTATGTAAACTTAGCGATATTACGTTTCAGGTAAATGACCGACACTGAAGTCGATGATTAAATGGCACCAGGTGATCAAAGTCAAAATCAAAGTCAAAGCATTTATTTCAATTAAACCATAATTTGGAACTTTTGAAACGTCAACAAATACAAAAAGAAATAATAGTCTGTCAGTCAGTCCGTCAATGAAGCTAGGTCAGATCGGCAAGGTTCGAACAGTTATCAGAAAAATATAGATAAAATTCCAAGTCAAAAACTTTTAAAAAGACTAGCCCAGGTTGTATTTTTTCGTGGATAACACATAAGTCATTGTAATTTTAAAAAATATAGGACTTGGAATTTTTTATACCTCTACATTTTCAGATGTTGACGTCTTATCGATCACCTGGCGCCATTTGATCGTCGACTTCAGAGACACCCTGAATAAGTTATTTACATACATAATTGCATATTCGTTTTAGATACATTATTTTTAATCAACTATGGTAACCCTCAGTTTCCATACACAATAGGTACGTACATTTTTCTAATTATAAAGTTTTCTGTAGTCAACATGGGATCAACAAAAAAATTGCCAAAAACTTCGTTTTACGTTTTTATACATTACTAAAACTCAAAAAGTTAAATTTGCTTTCAAAGTTACAACACTATCTAATTATATTATTTTTGGTGAAGCTCAAGGCAAAAGCTTCGCTTAAAGCATCATATCTTAATTAAAGTTATTCATTTTTATGACGTGAAAGTAATCATATTCAGTCATGTATAATTAGACCAATACCATAAATGATATTACAAGTTATATAATTATTGATATAGCCTTACAAGAGGTCAACATAGATAATTTAATTATTATTGATGTAACCTCAAAAGAAGTCAACATGGATATTTTAACTAACCTTCAATTTATGCTTAGTATATTTTTACAGTCATTTTACTACTTAATACTCGCTATCCTAATTCACATAAAATGCTACATCTTGCCTCAAGAAACTAAAATTTAATAAATTTTGGTCCCAAATAGGGTCGACTTCCAGCCCAATCCAATATGGTTAACAATATCGAGGTTTTTTATGCGGATCTACACAAGTAAAACAAGAGAAAAACTTAAGTGAGTAATATTGTGATTCTTATATAAAAAGGGTGGAAGGGATGTAACTTAAATTAACTTCTTGTCTGTCGATCTGTTTGTCTCGCGTAGATCTACGCTCCGACATACCAGGGGTTAAACATTAAATATAATTCATATAGAGATATGATTGTAAATTAATTATTATATTGTTCAGTTTAGTCACGTAACTGTTTAACGAGGAACTTAACTAGTTTGCTCATGAATACGAGCCTTTTTTAAGGGGGGAATATCATTGAATGTTTGTCAGACTCTTACTGACTAAAAACCACCCCGTTCCTACTCCTGCACTTCGAACCGCAGCCCCGACAACCCGTTAAGCCCTCCGCGGCAAGAATATGAGCCTAGTATGGCTTGAAACAAGTCGAGTTCCTTATTAACCAGTTACGTGACTAAGCTGAAAAATATAATATATAATTAAGTATGTCTCACGATAGTTATAGTATAAATATTCTTAGAAATTGCGGTGAAGATGAATATTTAACTAGATTTAGAACTATTATACAAAAACTCTTTAGGTATTCAAATTTGACACTCAAAATCTCTTCCACCCAGTAAATACTTGTATTGTGTGTAAAAATCACGAGAGCTTGAATCACCATATTTATCACAAAACATCGTTGTTGGCACTGCTTTAGCACAAACTACTTCACAAAATTAAATTGCCTTAAAAGTTGGCTTCGTATGGAAATAGCTAAATTTAAGATAGGTTTTGACCTAATTGTGTAGATCCTTAGTCTTGTTGAGGTTTTACTAGCAGGCAATGTATTTAAGATCTTAATTCATTATTTTACAACATCAATATTAACAGCTTATAATTGGCCACTGCCAACCAAAGGCCTCTTCTCACACGGAGGAGGTTCGAGTAATAATCACCATACTTGCTCAATAAGGGTTGGCAATTACAAACTTATACTTATAAATTATAAGCTTAGGTTGCTACACTGTGTTTTCCTTCATCGTTTGTCAGTGGTGTCTAAATAATCTTAGAAAGTACATGTAACTCGGATAAAGTCACATTGGTACTTGCTGTTGGTAAGTTTCGAATTCATGTACCCTCACGCATGAGAAGCGGGCGTGTTAAACCTCCAGGCCACCACGATCATTATCTATATTAAAACCTATTTTAATCGTATAAATAAATTAAAAATCTTACTCTGTTATTGATGAGGCACAAAATTCCACATGCGATAATTATTTCAGTCAAATATATGTTACAAACTGTAGATTCTCTGTTCTCTCACTTACGTAATTCAATATCAACTCTAAATAGACCAGAAAAAAAGCCGATTGCAAGACTGCGCACCCTTTCAAATCCCAAATATTTAAACAATGGTTTACTTAAAGTGTTTATAGCATTGATATAATAGCGTTTATTCTGGACAACTTTTTTCACTGGTATATATAAAAACCAAGTTCAAAAAATCTTCTCTAATTCGATTTAATCCAATATTAAAAAGGTTGTAAATGAAAGTTAATCGATTTCTAAAAGTAACCAACACACAATTGCTACAAACAACAACAATATAATAACCGTTCAAACCCACCATACACACCATAATACTCCAACCCACAATTACATAAAGATCACTTTCCCATGCCACCCCCTTAATGATCAAACACATTACGCCTACATGTATGTAAATATAAACCGTATCAAAATAGAATACACCCACATTCCTTAAGTAGTACTTGCTAATTATTTTCCACTTGCAAAATCATATTTAATTACGAAGACCATTTAAATTGGTCGGGTAATACGCTTAGAGTATTAGGGGAAATTATATGTTTGTTTGTTTGTTCTTTGTTTTAGATACGTGGCTTTTAGCGCTGATTGAAATCGTGTAGGATTGGAGCGTTTTTGTGGCTTCTTAGACCAACTTTTAGAGTTCATTTTGGGTTGTAATTGATTCTAAATAACGCTTCAAGGTCAGAATTATGTGAAGAAGCCTCTACAGTAAATAAGATCGTGTAATATTTTTTTTAAAAGTATATAAGTATACTAAGAATAGGGTAGATGACTAATTTTTATTTTAATGTCCGTCTGGTAGATTATTTTAAAACATTAGACACGTATTTTTTATTTTTTTACAGAAACGAATATTTTCGACGATATATTAATTTGAAATGTCGCGTAACGTCACTTCTATGTACATTTTATACGTAGAAATGACGTTTTAGCCCCCACTCCTAAACTTTGATTCGTTATATTTAAGTATCATTTAATTATACGACAAAATAAAAAATACGTGTCCTATATTTTTTCATTACCTAACTGACGGACTAATTAGATTTTTAATTTCAATATCCTGTCATCATCCCTATTATGTAGGTTGATAAAATTGCATATTTGTCAGCCCTAAAACTGTACACGTGAGGAGAATTGTAAGTCCATAATATTACCACACTTAAATTAAAGTGTAATAACAGACAACAAAAAATAATTATGTACTCTATAATTAGAAGCATAAAGTATAAAGTAGAATAGAGGCTGTTTTTCAAAGTAAAGAAGAATAAATAAATAAACGCTGACGCCTCAACAAAACACGTGTGTTCCTCAAACGAGAACAGACATTCTGCACGCTTACATCAATACAGTTTAAGGAAAACAAAACAATTCGAAGCGTAATTTGTAACAAACAAAGCATAAAATAAAATAGAAACATTTCCTTTTTATTGTTATTACCCATTCCATTGTTAATGAACCTAAAAATATAAAAACGTTTTGTTCACAGACGAAGACTTCCCGACGACGTTAAAACGTGTAGGAATTACGCGTACTTGCAGGAAATTTACGACGCGGTACGGGCTACGGACAGTAAGTATCTATTCATCACTATCATAAATAATGGAGTCATTAATTTTGTACACAAACAGAACACGTTATTGGAAACAACGAAAATATATACTGATGGAATAGGCATCGCAACGTTTGAAAGCAACCTAATTTATGTTATGGCTAATGGGAATTGTAATCTGTTGAGTAGTTCGTTTGTAACTTTGGTATGGTTCAATTTGTGTCATTACTGTTATTATGAAATAGTGTAATAGAAGTCCACGCCAAAGAATCATAAGCATAGGCAGTATACGTGACAATGAACAACTTAATTAATTTATATATGTCTCACGAAAGTTACAAAAAATATGTCACAAACTAGTTATTGCCCGCGATTTGGTCCGCGTAGATTATGATTTTTAGAACATATTTTTTTTATGAATCATTTTCCCAAAATAAAAGTAGCCTATGTTACTCCTCAGTACATTAGCTACCTACCAATAAAAATACCGTCAAAATCGGTCTAGTCATTTCACAGATTAGCCAGTACAAACAGTCAGATAGACAAAAATTAAACTAAAGGTGTTATTTTGGTATATATGCATCGTATGTACATTCACATGCATGTAGTAAAGAGCGGTTGTTTTAATATTACCAAGGAGACACTTAATTGTTCAGTTAGATTGATAAAAGTGTATACGAAAATATATAGACAATACATATAAATATATCACATATTGATCTGCTTCATTGGCCGAGTGGTCGCAAGCGCCACTGCCGGACAAGGGGTCTCGGGTTCGATTTCCAGGTCGGGCAAAGTATTACTGGGTTGTTAAAAATCTCAGTAGTAGCACGGAGTCTGGAAATGTGCATATGGCAATAGGCTCACCCTCTATTACATGGGACTCATAACATATACAGGGAAAAGTGGGTTTTAAATTGTACATCGGCAAAATGCCGTAATGTGCACCTCTGCCTACCCCTCCGGGGAAAAAAGGCGTGATGATATGTATGCTATTTATACTATTATTTGAGCATTAATCACAATAAAGATCTAGTTTACTATGTAGATTTTCCACGAGTGATATATGATCTGTCAATAAATATACAATATTTCATGTACGATTTTTCTCTCAACTGTAAGTATTTGAACGGAATCTTTGTTGAACAAAATTTTATGTCTCACTTCAATTCCTTTGTTTTCATGAACTGGTTGAAAAATGATAGATTTTCCAAAATAATTTTCACCTAATTTCCTATAGATGTCGAATTGTTGACATATAGTGAACATAAAATCAATGTTGTTAGTTTATTACCTCTATAGTTTCCGAACATAACTTAAGTTTCCGATTGTTGTCACATGTGGCGCTAGTGCATTCTCTTATCCGTTCTCTGTAATCTTTACCGGCTAATAAACGTATTGTTAATTAAACTTTCATCTCGTTTGTTATCAACACGAATGATGTGAAAATTTTACTAAGGTACACGTTGTATTAAACTGAACATGAGCGTATTCTGATATACTGAACCTTTAAAATTGCGAACTCCACGCAAAGATCAGTGACAACTTTCAGACTCACGGTACAGACTGTTTTATTTTCATTCGTAAACTAGTTATAATATGCTTTTTTTTCGCTCACGTCAAGAGCCTATAACCGGAAACTGCTGACCAAATGCCTCTTGTCACACGGAGACGGTTTGAGCATTAATGACTACGATTGCTCAATGCGGGTAGGCGATTTCAAACTTATAATTTTAAAATTATAAGTCCAGGTTTCCTCACACTGTTTCACTACATACGGATGTCAGTTGTGTCTAAATAATCGTAGAAAGTACATATAACTCGGAACAAGGTACATTGGTACTTGCTGTTGCTAGGTTTCGAACCGACACCCTCATGCATGAGAAGCAGGCGTCTTAAACCTCCGGGCTACTATGAAATTTATTAGACACATATTATATTAGACAAGTGGGGGTAACCTCACTTGTCTGATATTTAAAAAGTTATCATCGGCAAATAATAATACTTAAATGCCACTTAATACTTCACATTCATTCACTTAACGTAAGAAGTTGTGTAATTTAGGGGATACAAGTTCCTAAAATGTTTGTCTCATTAATTTAATTTTACCATTTGTGAAACTTTTCCTACTGTCATCAAGTCGTGTAACTTATCGCAGTCTGTCATTATCAAATTTTGTGTGAAAGTTCTATTAATAAAGGTTGAAACAATGTTTTCTTGACGTTCTAGGGTAAAACACCGCTGTCACTTGTATCATAGAAGTGACAGCTGTGGTTTTAATAAATCTCATTGTTACAACAATTAATTATCTATCTCGAACGTACGTTTAGAGAAGATTATTGAGACAGAGATATGAAGTTACGTTTTTAATAAGACAAAGATATCATTATTTTTTTCTGGAGACTTCAAATCTGTTTAACAAGTTTTCGATGTTCATTGGATCCGGTCAAACAGAGCGCCAAACGCGGCCTCATTTCGATTACTTGAAGCAAAAAAAAACTTGTACTACGCCTTCTGTTTTTTTAAAAACATCTCAGTTCTAACACGTAGTCAGAATTCGAACTTGAAGTATGATAATACTGGTGAAAATTGATTATTACAAATACACCACTGTCTAATCCTTTGGGGCAAAAACGTAATAGTTATGATCGTATTGTCTTATACGTAAAGATTCAATTTCTTGTATCATTTTATAATTCCCTTACATACCACAGTTTTAATTCACCAAACAATCAATACCGCATTTCATTTTTATTGCATACATATGAATATACATATAATACACATCAAAATAACACTTTTTAAATTTTTTGTCTATCTGTCTGTACTGGGCGATCTCTAAAATAGCTGGGCCGAATTTGACGGGAGTTTTATTGGCAAGTAGCTAATACAATAAAGAGTAACATATGCTACTTTAATTTGAGAAAATCGCAGACGAAGTTGCGGATTCAGCTAGTAATCCATAAACACAACCAATCACAAACGCAAACGAAACTGAAACACCAAAAACTCGTGTTAGTAACATAAGCGTTCGATTTTCAAAACGACGGCGCGTTCATTCATTGGCCAGTACATTTGAATGCTTTGTTTCAAAGCTAACAGATGTCATCGTACCATCGCTTTGAAGTAACATCGTGTCAACATGAAACCGAGATTCAGAGTGCGACGCAAATGACTGACATCTGACGACTGACTGACATGACGCGATGTGTGGTGTTTCATCGTATTTTTTTCCGGAATAGTCTGTTTACTGTCTTTGTTTTTTTGGTACTGCTATCGCATATCTTTATCTTGAGATTGAATGAAGTTAACTAAAAATTGCGGGTTACTCACGTGAATATACTGAGAAACACTCTACTAGCTTCAAACCACATAGAAGTTCTTCCTCGTGAGCAGCGTGCGCAGCCTACTCTGCCTCAACCTCTGTGGTTCGAAACTTATAGAAATTTTCTCAGTATATTCACGTAAGTAACCCGCGATTTTTAGTTAATTTAGTATGTCTCACGATAGTTATTGTATCCGACTGGGGTTAGATTCACGGTCGGGCAAAGTTTTACTGGTTTTTTTTAAAATGTCAGTAGTAGCACGGAGTCTGGAATTGTGTCCGGTATATTGCAATAGACTAGTGAGTCTAGTGCCCCGTTACATGGGACGGATAACATAAATAGTGAAAAGTGGGTGTTAGGTACATTGTACAGTGGCATTAAATGCCGTAATATGCACGACAGCTTACTCTTTTGGGAATAAAAGGCCAGATGTTATGTCAGATAGCTTGCACAGTCCTTAACAAAACTATGTTTAAAATCTTCTGGTATAAATGTGTCTGTCTTTTATGCAGCAAATCAATAAAAATGCTAATCGAATCAATGGATTTTATCATTATAATGCAGGTTTATCCATCATGTAAAGAACTTGTATGTAGTTATAGTTCGATAGATATAATGCCACCGATAGATAATACAAATTGTAATCATGTTATCGCAGAATTGATCAATTATTGTTTCATGTAACAAGCTGAATTAAGCGCCGCGTTTAATAATCTAATATCTATGCATTAATATCGTAAATTGTATAATATTGCTGACACATTAGTTTGTGAACTGTTCATAGTAATATCCATTGCAATTGAGGATTTTTATATTTGTTAAGCTACTCTATGCAATGATATGGATACAATGTAATTAAAAACGGTGATGTCATCAATCGAAACCTGAAAAATAAAGCTATAAGAAAGCTATCGTTGTTGTCGAATCTATTTCATTCACCTTGTAGAAAACTCACATTTATGGTTCGCCTTTACGTCTCTTTTTCCTTTGATTACTTATTTTATAGACCCAGCTTACAGACTTTATTAAGCTTCTTCATACTTCTTCAGATCATCAAAATTAAAATGACGTAATTTAATGAAACCCTTCTAAGTATGGACTCGTACATAAAACTGCGATGCGACGTCGCAAGAACTTGCGAATTGATTCGCATCGCGCATCAAAATCTTATCTTCCCAAAATCTTCTTTGTTTCTTTTTCCTGTATCTCCTAAGCAATAAAAGAAGCGCACACTTCTTTTTACGATCTATGTCACACCCTAGATTTCAATTTAAAATACATTTAGCACGGTTCACCATCGTCAAAGGAATGGCCACCCTGGGAGACGCCTTGTCGTACTTGAAATCACATCGCAGCAATTCGCATCGTATTTTGTGCGTTGCTAATTTGCATCGCATCACATCGCAGTTTTGCGTACGAGCTCTAAAGAATATACTCAAAAGTAAGTAATACGTATTTCTTTGAAAATAAAACGACGGCTAAAAAACAATTGGTGTGTGAATAATAGTAATTTCCGATGCACTGTCAAAATACAGTATTTGTCAACTCATAAAGGAAGTTAATTTAAATTATGTACGAGCGAGTAACATTCATTTAAATTACGCCTCAGACGATTCCTTATAAAGTTACAAACGATTTTGTGTTCAAACGAAAGCTTGTCTTAAAAGATGTATTTTATGATAGAATTTGTTTTGGGTGTTTTCTGTTCAGTCTTGTTATTTAACAATACAAAATTTAAATCAAAAGCCTTTTTAATAACATGCGTTTATTTCTATACATTTTTGGTCATACAAACTAAACGTGTATACGAAATTACGGTTCAATTGGTTGAAGATATAATAACATCATAACATCACGCCTTTAATCCCCGAAGGGAGAGGTAGAGGTGTACATTATGCCACTGTACAATGTAACACCCACTTTTCACTATTTATGTTATGAGTCCCATGTAATAGGGGGTGAGCCTATTGCCATATACCGGGCACAATTCCAGACTCCGTGCTACTAATGGGAATTTTTGAAAAACCCAATAATACTTTGCCCGACCCGGGAATCGAACCCGAGACCCCTTGCCCGGCAGTCACACTTGCGACCACTCGGACAATGAGGCAGTCTTGGTTCAGAGGTTGAAGATATCTGCTTTAAAATTTAGTTGTACGATTTCAATTCACTCACACACATACATTCACATATATACTGCAAGTTAAACAAGAGTTTGTAAATAGTATCTCCATGCTCCATGCCAATCTACTAGGATTGGAAATCGCTGTTTAACCTCTTGTCTGCTGGCATATGAGACACAATAGATAACACATTGTGTCTCGCGTATATCTACGCTCCCGGTATACCAAGGGTTAAGAGGTTAAGAAAGAAAACAAGAGAAAGTAAGAAAACTGTTTACGAAACGAACATTCAGTTTTTTAGAGACCGCTGCTGCTGTCCGGTCTCCGTCAAATGTGTAAACCTTTGGTTGTCTTTGTTTGGGTTTCTACTTTATCATTACACTTGAAATGAGTATAGTTTCTCTAGGATGTGGTTAGGACAGCAAAGCATTTTCACTGAACTCTTTGTCTTGATATTCTCTTACAAAAAAATTTAATGGCTCCATAAAGTCCATTCCATTTTAACCTTTAAGTCTCGAGACATTTATAATCTTGTCTAGACTATTATTTTCCTTTATCATTCCACAAGTTTTAATGTGAACATTGCCATATTTAAGTTGTTAGATGAGCGCCATTAAAATCTATATTAACGTTTCAAAAGGTCTTAAAACGCATACATCAACCATCGTTCACAATTTATTATAAACCATATTATAACTTAATAAAGTTTCTATTGCTTGTTGCAGGTGTTAGCACTAAGGATTTTATGGCAAAATTAGGAGAATATTTAATTTTAACAGCATTTTCACATAACTGTCGACTGGAGAGAGCGTTTAAATGTTTAGGCACCAATTTGACTGAATTTCTCACTACTTTAGACAGCGTGCACGATGTTTTACATGATCAGGTAAGTGCAATCTAATGTAGCAGATTGAAGGCTTCACTGCAATATTGAATAAAATTTCCTTCAGAATTTCATGATGAAAGATCCTATAATCTTACTATACCAGAAATAGAATGAGCTTCAATATTAAATAGGTGTAGATTAACGTTGGTAAAAGTCATGTAAATGCATTTATTTGAAATTGTATGGATTTCAAGGTAACAAATAATGCAGTGGCGTCTTCAAATGATTTTAAATATTCGAAAATGTTACATAATAAAAACTAAAATAAAAAAATTTAAGATGATTAAAACCAGCCTCCAATAATTCATACAGAGAGAACACAAATCAATTCACACATCTCATAGATAACTATGGGAAGTGTGAATTGATTTGTGTAAAACACACATTAAATAAATTTATCCACACCTTACTTAAAACGCAAGAACATTGATTCTAAACAAAATTGATTAACAACCCATTTTATCAACAGGATGATGCCCTAAAAGACGAAACAGTGGAGTATGAAGCAAATTTCGTTTGTACCACGTCACAGGAGGGAAAGATTGAGCTTCATTTAACGACAGAGAGCGAACCTGTCGCCTACCTTCTTGTTGGCAGCTTAAAATCAATAGCAAGGCTGTTATATGACACACAAACGGACATAAGACTGACGAGTTATACTAACGATCCTAGAAGATTTAAGTAAGTAGATTTTTTAACATAGATAATAAAAATCGCGGGTTACTCACGTGAATATATTCTACTCTACTTCCTCATTAAAAAAAGGAGTCCCTGTCGGCGCATTAGTATGGCCATCGACCATAGAGGCGGATACGCGCGGGACGGGGGATTAAAAACCCACGGCCGCGCGAGCGCCGCGCCGCGCTTCTTCATCCACACACTCCGCTAACTCACGCCATAGTTTTCGGGCATTTCTTCGTGTCGGTGCGCGCCGGTCTTGATTCTGATTTGTAATAATTAAACCTACTAATTGTGCAGTCTTCTGTTTTAATTTAAAATAACCCGACAGAGCTACGACAGTCCCTCTAGCAACATTCGCGTGAGTAACCCGCGATTTTTAGTTAATTTAGTATGTCTCACGATAGTCTTTATAAAACATAGATACCTAATTAAATTTTATACTTATGGTATGTGATGTTTTTGTGAACTTTGTTTACGTAGATATAATACACGATGGACTATATAAAGAAAGATATCAGTAGGTGGGAAAAATGTTGATGAACATTACATTTTGACTCCTTATCTGGTCCAAAGTTTCTTTAGAGACATTGAAATTAAGACTAAAAGTTAGTAGGTACTATTGTAAAAACCAATAATAAACCGATTGGTAATGCCAATAAGATAGTTCTTCAATGAAATATGATAAATAATAATTACAACTGCTATGTCGTTATGGTCTTCAAACAAATCTTTCATTCATCGACAAATAAATAAATGAAAATCAATAATTTCAAAGTGAATTAATTTCAAAGACTCAACAAAGCCGTCTGTCATTAAAACATCTTAACAAGGTTCAACATTTGAACGAAATCAAATCCCATAAAGACATTGTCATCGATTTTCATTGAATTATAATAATATTATTATTTTAATTTACTGACTGCGTTATTTATGATGTGGATTATTACTGAGTTTTCTAATCATTTTTACATGATATAATTCTTTTTTTTTAATATTGCCCCACACTAGGATTTTCTCCTGTATCGTGGGTGTGTGTGGGTGTGTGATCTGTGATCAGTTGTTCCGTGCAGGAATCGAATCCACGGCACGTTTCGCGGCAGTCAGTTGCCCAACTAACGCGCCAACCGTGCAGTGGCTTTTCGTAATATATTAATTGTTCTTTTGGTTTTGGGTGCGTCGTAAATATGAAACCACTGTAAAATGCACTAGAAAATCCAAGTGTGTTCAATACAAAATAAAAATAAGAATTCAAATGTTTGTTCAAATTCAAATGCATTTATTGTGTCCTGTCTACTATATAAAAATAAGTCGGGTTTTCCTTCCTGACGCTATAAGAAAGAAAGAAGAAGAAAGAAAAAAAGAAAAACCATTTATTTCTGCGCAAAACACACATAACATAATTATTTAAAAAATAAAAAGAAAACAAAAAAAAGCTAAAAAATTAAAATGAAGTGAGATCTTGTCCAATAACTCCAGAACGCACGAATCGAATTCCACGGTTTTGCATTTGTTGGAAAGGTCTGATCCCGTCAGTGATCAGACCTTTCAGTGAGGTTTATAAAGTATAAAACAAAAAAAAAATATTCATCTTTTAATCTCTGAACGAAACGTTAAGGACATAAAACGAAGCCATCTGATGGCGAAACGGAGTGCGCCGGGTTTGCTAGTTTGTTATAAATGTAAGTTTAGCTCTGAAAATTACCATTTAGACCAGTATCACTGTAGCATACCCGTGGAGTATACAATCTTTATTTACAAAAATATGTCAAAAAAAGCAAATTTGTTGTAGTAAAAATGGAAAGAGAATCATTAAAACTAGCCAAAATGTTTCACATCTTCATCAAGTTTAGTAATTTTTATTTTATTTAATACAGATATAAACGCCTGGTCTGCGTTACTTCCGTGAATGTTCAAAGGTTGAGCTATTTTTACACAGATTGTATTATTTACGCGATGTCGGTATGATTATACGATTTTCTAAGTATTCAGGGTCGTAGTCTCGTAATCGATATTTTTTGTAATATTTGATTACGTATTTGCTGATTTTTATGAAGATTTTATGAAATTATTTATTCTGATTATAGATTGAATAAAAATTTCAATCAGCAAAATATTGCTATTTATTTAGTTTTGTATTTTGAAGATTCCAATAACTTCTAAGATTTGTGTAAGGACAAAAGCCATTGTGTTAACATAATCATTTTACGAACTCATCTTCATGTTACAACACAACCTTTATCCTAAAGTCATAAGTCACAAATACACATTTTATAAATTACAGATCAATTAATTAATTAATACACAATACACATTACATATTAATTAATTAATTAATTCAAAGATACATTAATTTTAGAATTAGAAGACGTCAAATTAAATATATCTACTGAATATTTTGTCTTAGAAGTCGCTTGCAAGGACTCGCTCAGTGACGCAGTTAAATAAAATAAGCCAAGAAATAATGAGTCATCCCTTCAAACTTTGGAATTAGCTATTGACTTTCACCCCGATCAGCTTCCATTAGAAAGTCGATCCCTTGTTAATTGCTTGAGAAGTTTCCAATACAAAGGAAAATGTCTATTTTTTGCATCGGCTTTATTAAATGCGCCTTCATTATTTTCCTTTAAGGTTGTGTTTTGAAAAATTATCTCTATTGCGTTTTGATTAAATTAAGTTTTTGCTTGATTCGATCTTTAATTACGCTACTGTATTTAAAATCCAATAATTATTTACCCAAGCAGATACCTCTTACATGAAAATGAAACTTGTGATCTCTTATCCAACGAGACAGTCAAAAGCTTTCGACAATAAATTTTATAAAAATTTCGTTCACTGACTACACTTATTGTACCAACCTACTCGTACACATTGAAATTTTAATTCCAGTAAGGCTTAAGACTTGCTAGTGAGCATACAAAATTATAGGTTTTATAGGTATTGACTTCACTGACTGCCTCGTTAGCCGAGTGGTCGCAATTGCGACTGCCAGGCAACAGTTCCCGGATTCGATTCCTGGGTCGGGCAAAGTTTTACTGGGCTTTTTAAAAAAATCGCAGTAGTAGCACGAAGTCTTGAATTGTGTCCAGTACTATACTCACTCATAACATAAATAGTAAAAAGTGGGTGTTACGTTGTACAGTGACATTAAGTGCCGTAATGTACACCTTTGCCTACCCCTTCGGGGATAAAAGGCGTGATATTATGTTATGTATTGAATTCAGTAAGTAACTAAAAAGATAGACGTACTTTTTTAATCTACTACGATCTATACGATAAAACTACGATCGATAAATCGATTGCAATGTACTTTATGAAATAAAGTACCTACCTACTGATCGATCGACAGACCCTGACTTAATTGTATTTAGCCCATTACAAAAAGTATTATTTACCATAATTTTAAAATTTTGTAACTATATCTTATATTTTAGGTACGAAATAAACGCAGTACCATTACATCAAAAGTCAAAAGACAGCGATTGTGAGCAATCAGAAGCATCAAGTATCGCTACTTCGACAAAAGTGACGGACTTGAAGATCGGAGTGGCTAGCTTCTGCAAGGCATTTCCTTGGCATTTCGTCACTGACAAACGGCTGGAACTCGTGCAGTTAGGTAAGTATTTTTTTATATATTTTGTCATTAAAAATTATGTTTGATTGTAAGCCTGGCGCAGTGCTTGGGCAACTGACTATAGCACAATATGTCGCGGAATATTTATTTATAGTAGTTGACTGCGTTTGAGTATTTGCACTGAGAGGTGCACTTCTGAGCGCTTGTGCTGTGCCCGGTATATGGCAATAGGCTCACCCCGTATTACATGGGACTCATAACATAAATAGTGAAAAGTGGGTGTTACATTGTACAGTGGCATTAAGTGCTGTAATGTGCACCTCTGCCTACCCCTTCGGGGATAAAAGGCGTGATGTTATGTTATGTTATGTTAACCGACTTCAAAAAAGAGGGGCTCGAAATCGGTTATTTTGTTTCTAATCTTGGTATTCAAGTTCAAGTTGAATTTGGTTTCTTAGGTTACTTCTTATCTATTAAAGCCAGGAATAGACTATCTGCATCTTCAAAATAACCTTTCCTTTTTTTTATAATTTTCTTATATATAGTATAAGCCGGTAAACGAGCAGACAGAGGATCACCTGGTGGTAAGCAATCAGCATCGCCCATGGATATGCGGAATACCAAGGCGTTACAAGTGTGTTACCGGCCTTTTGGGGATTAGAAATTAGAGGATTGTTGAAAAATCAAGGATTTCTATAATTAGGCCTCCAATAATCTCACTTACACGAAACATAACGGAATCGTTGTTTCACGTTGATTTTCTATGAGGCCGTGGTATCACTCCGGTCGAGCCGGCCTATTCGTGCCGAGGCATGACTCTCCCACACTTAAACAATGTGCGTATGTCATTCATAACAAGTTATGTTCTTATACAGTTAGGCTCGTAAATAAAATGTCGATAGATAGCATAATGCACTTTCCATATAATAATAATAAAGAATAAAATCGTGTACACTGTACCTAACTGCATTAAGAGAAATAAAAGTATTTTACAGAGTAGTGACTTAGGAAAGGACCTCATAAATTGGCATTTAGAAGTATATTTATGGTTCTGTAAATCAGACCCGACTAAGTAAAAGCTTCTGGAATAGGGAAAAGAATATTTAGAAGTTCAATAGTACTCGACTTTCAAAATTCTATACGAATTTAATGTTTTAGAGATTTTCTTCGCAATCTACGTAGGTAATTCTAAAGTGACTGGCTTGACTTCTAAATTGTACACAAAACGTTTTATTAAGATATTTTGGTCATTTCAGTAGTAATATGAAATCTGATGTAGTATCCATTGTATGGTAGTAACTTTAGGCCAGTAAGTGTCCACTAAGGGACAAAATGTCCTGCGACACGAATCCTAGTTTAACAGTCAAAACAGTCGTGGTGCGATCTCGAAATCTACCAACGCCAAGTATCAATGTAACTTTTTCTGAGTTTTATGTACGTTCTGAGATTATCTAGACATCATTGACTCGCCAAACCACAGTTAGCAAGTCTGGTGGTTAATGCTCAAACCTTCTCCGTGCGAGAAGAGGCCTTTGGTTAGCAGTGGCCACTTATTAGCTGATTATGATGATGATTGATGATGAAGTTTAAAATTGTATGGCACATAAAACATACCACAAGGTTACTCCGTTTAGATCACTCTTTAGGTCACTAAAGAGGTGGGCAGAAACTAATTAAACGTAGGTACTTATGACTAGAGGTATTATCTATCAATGTCCACCTCATGTCAAAAGCCACAGCTTTCTGACGCTCTACGGAGATTTTCTGGCTGATGACCATGACACTACGGCTTAAGTCTATTCCTTTGAATAATGTCATTGTTTGTTATTTTATTAAACTACTAAAAGGCCTGAATTAGTTAAAGACAATAATTATTCTTTTATGAAGATTTTATTCTAACTTTCGAAATTTATGAATTGTTAATTTAAATTTGAAAAGCTCTCTTCAATAGAGGAATTAGTTTATTAATTTATATTTCTATTAAGTTTGAATATTTGAAGTGCTATTTCATGTTTAGTACTTATAATTATTAAGCTAGACTTTAGTCAATATGACTCAAGTATTATACTATGAAATTTATTATGAAGAAAATGAAATATGAATATTACTTGAGTTTGAAACTATTGTTTATTGGTAAGCAAAAGTACTAAGGTTATCTTTCTAAGGGCCTGTTTCACAATATCTGGATAGCCGTTATCTACCAGATAAATTTGAATTAAGAACGTAATTTGTATGAACTATCTGTGACATAAGTTTATCAGGTACTTATATAAAGGTGGTGAAACCGGCGTTTAAACTGCCAAAATATATCGGGATAAACTGCCAAAATATTCTGAAGAAATAACTGCCTCGTTGGCCGAGTGGTCGCAATTGTCTAGACTAGAGATCTAGACTAGACAAAGGGCCTCGGGTTCAATTCCTGCGACGGGCAAAGTATTACTAGGTTTAAAAAAAAAGTGTTGTTAGTATTACGGAGCCTGGAATTGTGCATAGCATTAACCTCACCCCTTATTACATAGGACTCATAACATAAATAATGAAAAGTGGGTGTTACATTGTACAGTGGCATTAAGTGCCTAAATGTGCACCTCTGCCTACCCCTTCGGGGATAAAAAGGCGTGATGTTATGTGTGAAGAAATAACACAGATATAATTACAATAAGTTGTCTCCATAATAAAATGATCTTACAAAAGTACCATCTCAATAAATACTACTTAAACTGTCAAACACCAAGCGGTCACCGGTGACCGCAACCTATTGTTCTATAATTGTGTCTACAAAACCGGTACTCGACGAGTTAATACCCAGAAGCCGTTTTTAAAGTCTAAGAAACGTCTACGAAATAGTATACGTCTTTTTACAACACATGTGCAGCTAGAAAAATCTTCACAATTCCTGCACTTCAACGGATATTATAAAGTGAATACGATCACGAATAGTTCCGTACAATTTTTCATATGAAACGTTTGTCTGCGAATAGAATTCTATAACGGTCGCTCTGGAAATAGAGCTTGACCTAGAGTGGGGAATATTATTTATTTACACTTTACTGATTTATGTTCTGCGGACGTTGCATTTATTACGTGGCTGGATTACGTTGGCAACAGATATTTTTTGTAGGTATAGGTACTTGACCTATAGTTGAACACAATGGAACATTTTTAGGAAAGTCTGTTCTAAGAGTTTTATAAATTTGTAGTTAAATTTTGCAGATTATAGAATTCAATAAAAATAATCATAATAATATCATAATAGTCAAGGTTTCTTTGTTTGGATGCTTTGTCTGTCAATCACGCTGAAACTACTGAACAGATTACAACTTAGGGGATAAGATACTTTTTATCCCGATTAAATACTGTCATTGGATAAAACAGGAATCATATTCGACGCGGACGAAGTCGCGGGCAACAGCTAGTTAAAACATAAAACACGAATAATAAAATAATAAGACACAATAGCTATAAAATGAAGCGTAAAATAAATTGTGGTCTAGTTTCGACCTGTTCACAGAGTATCTTAGTCAAATTAAATGAATCTGTGTCAAAAATCCATGTTCTATTATGTGCCCTAGTTGCTATAAATAAAATTTCAAAGTATCTCACAAAAATAAAAACCAAAAATTGTAGCTAATTTATTACAAACCGTATTTCAAGTAATATAAAGTCCATTAATTTAATTTCACCTCTCCTCGTTTATACTCCACTGGCCATGGTAACTAGTCCCCAATGGTTTGAGATTTACTCGGTAAAGACATTAATTATTTATTTCTCCCACGGGATTTCTGCTTCTATAATTTCTTCAATGAGGTTATTCGGAAAAAAATCCGTTTGGGATTCAAATGAATAATGTTCAAATGCCAGGCTTTGTTTAAAGTACCACCAAGAATCAGTAATTAATTTAAAAAGGGTCGTTGGAAAAGTTCGTACGAAATCGTTTATCAGCTTAATCTTTTTGAATAAATTTGTATTTTAAGGTCATGAATATTTGACTTTTGATTCTAGAAAAATCGTTTAGAAATCCTTTATTAAATTAGTTGTGAAATTGGTTTAATTATTCGATGAATTGAATGTAATTTTTTTGAGATTGAAATTATATAGTCAGATTATTTTGAAATCGATTACATTTTTTTTTTGAGGCGGGAATATCAATTCCCGCCTAAAAAAAAAATCCCCCAAAGGTCGGTAACGCACTTACAACGCCTCTGGTGTTCCGAGTGTCTATGGGCGACGTCGATTGCTTACCTTCAGGTTATCCGTCTGCTCGTTTACAGCCGGTAATCCTACTGCGGTAATTGAATATCTACCAAGAGAAATGGCTGATGTCTTTTTTCTAGTCAACATATCCGAAAAATAAACCCATAGAACCAAAACCAACCATTATTGTAACTACTATTATCGAAATAAAAGTTGGGAAGGAAAATAAAGGGGGTCGTAGCCAATTTACATCTAGTATACTATCCAGCACTTGATAGGGTTCTCAAAATAGAGTCGTTAAGTTTACGGCAACGCCTGGTGATTATCGACAGAGGCCTTTTACTGCGATACCTTCATTTCCTTGCTTTTGTTGGTACCTTCAGTTAACGAGGGTACAGGAACTTTTTTTAGAGGTGATGTTGTTCGTGTAATGTGGAAAAGGTTTATGGGTATTTTTTTTTGTGTAAAATGTGTGTCTGTTTTGTTGTTAGTTGAGGCGCTAGTGGGACTGTGTATATCTATAAGGTCTTGTTTTAACCTTAAGATGGTGAAAATGTTATATTTTGGGTCTAATAGATTCTAAGGTCAAACTTTTTACTCTGTCTTTGACTTCTTCAATAGTATATTAGTAAGAAAATGATTATCATGCATAGGACACGTATAAATCTATATGGTTGTTTATTTGTTCGTAGGTACTTATTTATTTGTTTAAGTTTTGTATAATAGCATAAGGAGGATTTATGCAAAGGGCATTTTTTACCAGTCATCCTTTAGGTAGTGCAGAAATGTACGTGGTATTTAATTAACTTTTAGTCGTCAAAATCAATTTATTAAAAGTCTTCAAGATAAACTTAAAAATAGCAAAGTTGTAATTGAATTTATCAACGGAGAGAACGAACGAACTATTTGAATAATTTAAAGGTTTTTCTCGAAAGCACTTTAGCTGTTAGTAATATCTTAAAATTAAGACGCAATTAATTGCATGAAGGCGTTGAAAATACTTAGTAATTTTTAGTTTCGTTGAATACAGATAAAAGTACGTGTATTTCTGACTTATCAAAATATTTTAATGTTTGAAAGATTTTGATTTTAGAACTATTTTCATATGACTGTTGTGAAAAATATTAACAATTACATTTAAGAGCTTACTAACGTTATTGTTCGAGGTTACTCGATGAGTTTCAAGCCACACAAGGGACCCATCATTTATTATGAATAATATACGCTACCCTTGCGCTTCAGTTACCTTATGTGCTGTTTATGATCGAAACAAGTAAAAGATTACAATTTAGTTTACTATGAATGTGATCACTAAAATTGACAATAATCATAGGACCGATAAAAGCGCGTAGCCTTCATCACTGCCAACGAAAGTCCATTTTTTAAAGTTCTTACTATGTTGTGAAGTCCTAGTACTTCTTGACATTCTCGTTTCTTCATTTTTGCAAGAGAGTTGTAGTTAAGGACTTACGTATTACATGCATGATTTTTCTTTCATGTAAGGTAGGTACCGAGGTATCTAGTTTTGTTCTAGAATAACAATTCCGGAGATTGTGAAAACACAAAAACAACTATAATCATAACTATGATTGTAGATAAAAAAACCTACTTCAAGAAAGTAGGTTGTGGAACTATTTTCAAGTTGGTTCAGTTACTCGGAGGTTGTAAACATGAATTTTTATTTTCCACTAAAATTTTAACCGTAGAAGGTAGTTGCATCTAAAAATTTTACGAGCGTTTTGTTATGTTACTCTCAAGATTATTATCTTATAGAAGTATGTGTTCTTCGTAAGTTTTGCGAGAACATAATAAGCAAAGAAGTTGTAGTGAATTGTATTGTTAGATAAGTATAATCCAAATTTTGCTGATTGCCTCGTTGGCCGAGTGGTCGCAAGTGCGACTGCCGGGCAAGGGGTCTCGGGTTCGATTCCCGGGTCGGGCAAAGTATTACTGGGTTTTTTTTTCAATTCTCAGTAGTAGCACGGAGTCTGGAATTGCGCTCGGTATATGGCAATAGGCTCACCCCTTATTACATGGGATGAGACCCATGTTATGAGTAACATAAATAGTGAAAAGTGAGTGTTACATTGTATACATTGCATAATGTGCACCTCTGCCTACCCTTTCGGGGATAAAAGGCGTGATGCTATGTTATGTTATAATCCAAATTATAAAATAGGTCAAGATAACGTGATCTATAATTATGATTGCAAAATATCCAGAAGCTACGGTAACCGTTTTCCATTTGCCGGGTTGTAAACTGGTTTATCACCACAAAATAAATATATACTTTATTATCCCTGCTTAGCATGCCTTCAAAGATACAGAGAAGATAAAAGAATACAAATGACCACACATTAAAAAACCGACCTTAATAATGCGCTCAAAGGACCAGTTTTGATCTCTAAGGTCAATTTTACACATGACGTAATAAACGACATTAATCAAGAAAATATTAATGATTCACCATCAGCCGCCACGTCAAAACAACACAGGCTTATTGGGGAACACAATTTGACGGATTGCCTCAAACGAGGATCCAGAACAAATAATAAATGAGGATGCTCGTATTACGTTACAAATGTGTAACATTTACTGGAATAAATGTTCTAAACAAGAAAAGCTTAAAACGTAACGCTTCGATAAATCATACTGTTATTTTCTGTTTATTGTTTTTGAAGACATTGTGGGGAGTCTGTGATGAAATTCTTTCGTTGTAATTTGTATGCGCCTTTATTATTATAGTTTTAGTAAATACCAAGTTTTATTTTCGGTGCTTAAGTTGTTTTTAGAAATAACAGTAGTTATTTAATTTAATTTTTTTTTGTGCAATCGTGCAATCTTAACACCTGATGGTAAGCAATCAGCGTCGCCTATGGACACCCGGAACACCAGAGGCGTTACAAATCGTTACCGGCCTTTTGGGATTAAGAATTTGAGGATTGTAGGGGATTCAGGAATTGGGGACAGGGAGGGGGGGTAATTGTGCATTTAGCGGGTTACTCACGTGAAAATACTGAGAAAAGCTTTACTAGTTTCGAACCACAGAGGGGTCTTCCTCATGAGCAACATGCGCGGTTGCGGCGATCTCGCGCAGCTTACAAAATATTAATGTTATCTTTCTTATTGATATTTTAAGGGTTGATAATAGGTTTTTTAATAAAAACTTCTGGTTTATAGAAAATGTTTAGTTCATCAAAGGTATAAAGTAAGATCAAGACGTCTACCAGAATTGCTAAAACATGTCAGTCTTTCAGTCTCAATGTCAGTCAATTAAAAATGAATGATAATGTCTTCAAATTAATATAATGTTAGTTAATCATCTATTTTTCAACAGGTGCTGGTTTCATGCGACTCTTCGGCACCTACTTAGCGTCCCACGGCTCCTCGCTTGGCACCTACTTCAGATTGCTTCGACCAAGAGGTGTTCCCCTCGACTTTCGTGAGATCCTCAAGAGAGTTAATACTCCTTTTATGTTCTGCTTGAAGGTACCTGGATCTTCTTCACCAGCTGAGGTAAGTGATCATTTAGTGTTGAGTATGTGAGTTCTGTTTTTATTTGGATTCAACTTGAAAAGATTTGTGGAATATGCACTTATAGGACGTCTTTCTCTAGGTGGTGTATTTATTTTCTTTAATATTCCTATTTAGATCGTTTTGACAAATAGTATTACAGTCGACTAGTTTTCTTTCCAGTTTCACTACTGGTGAATTCAGTAACGTTGTGAATTTTAAAGAAGATGCGTTTAATAAAAAATAAACAATTCTTTGAAGTTAACCAATAATTATAGTTACTTAATTATCTTGTTGATTACGACGCATAAAAGCAATTGTAGCAATATGGGTAACTTTTATATCGCTTACAATACGTACTATATTCTATTTATTTTAATAAAATACACTTCTTACGCTCTGGTTCCAATTAAAAGCGCAGCTAATTAAGAGCCTGCTAAAGAAATACAAATTAATAGTTTATAACCAAATTAACCTAATCAGGTATTATTAGCTACAGGTTTCATCTTGTAAACAATTTTTTCTTATCCCAGATTAGCTTAAAAATGTTTATTATTTTTTCTTCCACAAGGCAAGCGAAACTTAATTAAAAATTCCTTAAATTAAACGAAATCTTCTTTGTTTATTTTTCCTGAGTACATTTAGAATCTTTGGCATATTGTAGCTTCACGAAAAGATTTTACGACATACCTTAAAATACCTTCTTTGTCAAAACAAAAGGTGGCTTGAAAATGGATCGGTTATGTAAGACTATAAAACAGCACATGAGTGCCGACTAAGGCTCTACATACAAGACAAGCAATTAGACTATCGGGCTGTTGATCTTGATGCATGATTGACTATCATCATCACCATCAGCCGTCCAATGCTCCCTCTTGGGCCTCCTTGTCGAACGACAACTCGCTACAACGAGTTCTATAATTACGTGGTTAAGATTTATAATTGCATAAACATTTTTATCTTCTTTTGATTCAATCGATGAGATGAGATGAGATCTCTCCTTATCCTACAGCAGCTTAAAACATGTGATACACTATATTCACTTGAACTAATCTCAGATCTCAACTCAATTAGCTTAACGTTCAATCTGAACGAGGTATTAAATTTTGATTAGATCTCCTAAGCTGAGTATCCGAGGACATGCAGTACTATGTGCTTATCTGTCTTACACTGTTTAGTTTATGATAGTTTGTAAGATTAACTGTTTTGTGACTGGTTCACTACTGAAGTCTTAGTACCTTTGAGTTTGATTAACGTTTAAAGTAATTGAAACGAGACCGCGTGCAAGGATCTGATTGGTCGGTTCATTGGAGCCGGCCAATCAGAAAAAACAACGCTTTCGTTGTGTTTCATCGTGTGAGTGAGGTTACCGGAGGCCCAATTACCCAATCTCCCAATACAATCCTCAAATTCCTAATTCCTTCAAGGTTGATAACGCACTTGTAACGCCCCTGGTGTTCCGAGTGTCAACGCCGATTGCTTACCATCAAGTGATCCATATGCTCGTTTACCGGCTTATCCTAGGAAGCCTGGGCTTATAATTTTTAATTATAAGTTTGTAATCACCCACTCGCATTGAGCAAGCTTGGTGATTATTGCTCAACCATTGTCCGTGTCAGAAGAGGCCTTTGGTCAGCAGTGGTCACTTATAGGCAGTTGTTGTGGTTTACTGGTATTTATATAATTATGAAGGTTCTCGAGGTCAAAACTCAATGTCTAGGTTAAGTAAATAGATCTAATTGGCATATTTAACAAAATTACCTTTAATTTTCGACCCCAACGATGAGGTTTTGGGTTGCAATTATTCTCTCTTAAAACCTTAGAAGTTCATAACTCGAACGACATGAATTTCAATAGCCCACGGACCATCATTTTGAACAATACACTTTAATGACATCGTAATTGGGTTGATTTTTAGTCGTAACTTATTTAAATATAAATAAGTTTTACTAAGGAACAAATTGTTATCTTAGATAATGTTTCTTCGTCGTTTTTAACTAAATTTCTTCGGAAAGGAGCAGGAAGTGTCGCGGAGTTATAATTTATTATTTTCGATTTACGTACCAACAGAATTAATTTCTCTTTGATGTCACTTTTTGCCTGTTTATCATTTTGTTTTCTTTTGAAAAGCTCGTTATTGTACTATAGTTCGGTGTTTTAGGGTATTGAGGTCGCCTTTATTTTATGGAAAGTTTTTATGCTTTTGTTGTTATGGATACGATTTTTGGTCCAAGTTAGTCACATCAAAGTGTCAAAATTCTAATTGTTACTATGATTATGATCTCTGAAAAGTTACTGGTCAAAAATCGTATGATCCACGAATTGTTGTTTCGGATCTGGGTGTCATGTGTATGTGAACTTGTAAATGTTTGTAAACGCACACATGACACAGAAAAATTCTTGAGTGGAGCAACGGTTTTAAAAAACTTAAAGAAAAGACAAAGAAAAAAAATTGTTACATGATGATACATCTTTACTTATTGTCCTTTCCAGTAATTAAGATTCGATTTTATTGCTGGTAAACTACCATTAATCGATATTAAATCAATGAAATTTTGCGTTTTCATTGATTTAATTTCATGGTGTTGTCACCGTGAACATAATACAAGTTATAAACAACAAAACAGTTCAGAAACGCAAACAGTATAACATATACATGTAAACAAGCACTCAATCCGTTTACACTCCCCAACACCCATCCTTTCTCATAACACAATGAAACTTATAACATATGTAACTAAACCTTACTATAACTATTTACATCCCTTTCTTTGTCCCTTACTATAACTATGTCTATCCCTTTCTTTGTTCCACATCCCTCAAAACACTCACATTTCAAGAGCATCCCTTTGTTGGAACACTTCACAAGTTTGCCGACAACATTCGAATGGACACCGACTTATTTGTTCTCTGACCAAATTTGTTTAGGTGTTTTAGCTAAGATCAATATAAATACTGTTACAGGGGTCGTGATTAAACCCTGTTCCAATATTGGGTTCATCCTGGTGTTAAGATGATTATAAAAGCCATGATAGGAGATGGATTATAGAAATAATTGGGTCTTGTTTGTTTTGTAAATTGTTTTACAATGCCGCTGTCTCTGGAGGTGCCATTTTGTTTGTGTTGTTTATTAAAGATGCAAAGATTGATGGTTTTGGAGATCGGGTTCGAGTAATTGGGGAGCTATTGTATCTGATTACCTTTGTAGGATCAAGGGGAGATTGTATAGATGTGATGTACATTGATTGAGTTAAAAAAGATATTCACAAGGCAAAGAGAAACGTACCAAAAGGTAAATCCCTAAACTGGAAATTTCAAAAGTGAAATCTCGGGTTAATACTGTTTGTTTTTTATGGAATAAGCCTGTAAACGAGCAGACGAATGACTTAATGGTTAGCAATCGGCGTCACCCATGAACACATGGAACACCAGAGGTATTACAAGTGCGTTACCGGCCTTTTAGGGATTAGGAATTTGAGGATTGTTGGGGATTCAGGAATTGGGGAGATTGGGCAGAGGGGAAGAATAATTGGGTGTCTGGTAACCTCACTCACACGACGAAACATCACGTCAGTTTTCTGTAAAGTCGTGATATCACTCAGGTCGAGCCGGCCCATTCGTGCCGAAGCATGGCTCTCCCACACTTAATAAAAGTATCACTTACACTGTTTTTATAATAACTATCGTAAGATATACAAAATAACTAAAAATCGCGGGCACTCACGTGAATATACTGAGAAAAGCTTTACTAGTCTCGAACCACAGAGGGGTTCTTCCTCAATGAGGTTCGATCACATAAACTTACACTATGAGCCAATTACAATCACAAATAGAGCCCACATTATCTAGGAATGCATTACTAACAAAAACTGAAATACACAAAAGAATTCACGACGAAAACGTGTCAACAAAACAAGACAATTTACAAAATTGCACAACTAAAACAAAAGTTAATCGTCATAAGTGCTCATTTGGCTCTGCAACGCTTTTATTATCTGCCTTCCCGTGCATAAAACCAGTGGCTCTCAAACTTCCACTCCCCAACTCTGATTACGTATCAACAAAGCGAAGTGCTGGCGAGACAAAAGCCAGCGACAACAGTTTTTCCAGTGACCTACCTTAGAACTGTGTCACACAAGAACGTGTGTCCAACTGTATACAAACGGCTGCATATCAAGGCATACTATACCAATTTATCATGGTCTCTCTTTCTATGCCATTTCTACATATCTAACGGTCAGTTTACACTGGTTGTATAGCTAAATGTGGACAATACTCGTTTAAATAACTCCATATGGACAATGGTCTGGGAAATTGATATAGAAATGTAATATTTTTGTTATTTTTCTTAGAAATGGTCTATTGGGTGTGTTCAGAATTTTCTACGGTTGATTGCAGGGATTTATTTCTTTTTTTGCGAATATTTGTTTAGTATGTTGGTCTTTTGTGTTTGGATAGGTTTTTTGTTGTTGGATCTAGTTTAATTTGTACATAATGATGACGAGTTTTACTCTCGTTACAGTTTTTTAATCACCCATTTAAGAGCTAATATTATTTTATTTTTCGTTTTTCCTTCTTTCTATTTGTGTTAACGACAATAATAATTAGCGTCCTATGTTTTATTTAGTTATACCTACATATGAATATAGTTTTTGGTCTAAAACCTCGCAGTTAGTTCAAATTAACGGGAAAATAATTGAGTTAAGCAAATTAAGCTTTGATCTACGCTAATAGTACTTAATTTCCAATAAAAGCACCCTTTTTTTACCTCGTTACAATTTCCCAATCGTTCCAAAATAAAACAAAAAGAACTAGCAAACGTAACGTGTTCGCTTTTAAAATAAATGAAACTCGTTTAATCGAGCTTCGTTCGCTAAATCGATTACACGCAATCGGACTAGAAAATAAAATCCGTATCGAGATGAGCTCGTTACTTCAGATTTATTTGGTAATGTAAATAGCTCTGTCTGTTTGTCCGTTCTTAACTATGTTTGGTCAAGGAA